TAAAGAAACAGTACTTCTGGCAATAGTTTGATATTCCTATTACTGGGATAGAAGGCACATAGGGTACACTGATCAACGTCCTGTTTTCTCTGGACAGGATAAAGATGGCCGTAAGTTCTAAGTGTGGGCTCAGCCATGCCTGTTGCTCCAGAACACCACCTTTTTGGACCTATGCGACACCAGAGAGCCTCTCTTCAGCCCAACACAGCCCCTTCTGGCCACCTGTTCACTCACCTGCTATGACAGTTGCCTGTGCTGCCAGCGTCCCAATGATGAGGATCACCGCCAGGACCAAGAAGCCGCTGGTCCTCATTGTGTCAGGAAGGTGTTTGGCTTAGAGCTGAAGCCAAGCCTGGCTTTATGCAGGCCCAGCTTGTCCTGTCACCAGGGGCGTGTCTATGGTTTTCTAAGTGACAAGACGTACCAGGAAATGTCCACTCTCATTTGGCAGGGACCTTGGGGCTGTCAATAAGGACTATTCACAGGGACAAGTGACCCTTTGCCTCTGATAGCCTCAATAACTGTCCCTCTTTCTCATGAAGCAACAGTACTGGCTATCTTTTACCACCATCACAAACAAATATTTCATATTTTGAAAGACTATGAAGCTAAAAGAAGAGAAAGTAATGATTTAAAGGTATTCGATGAGTCACTGGTAAGTACAGTCTTGATTTTAATACCAGATGTTCCTCTGCATGTCCTCATCTAACAAACCCCACCCAGTATCTACCCTGTCATTTTACCCATGCGAGCATCCGACCGCTCTTTCTTGGCCCTGAGAAATTCTTTCTTGATTTTAAAAGACTCAGTATGACACATTTCCCTTTCATATCTAATGACTATTCATTGTGTAGTTGAAAAGTACAACTGAAAGAAAAATTACTAGAGGGATTCCACATATTTGAGCAGGTAGGAAAAATGTAATATACTTGAAGATAGGTGGTTGAGATGAACCAATCCGAGAAACAGAAAGACAGAGGAAGAATGAACATGCCCAAGGATACCATTACGCGTACAAACATACATATTATGGTATGTCCAGAAAAAGAAGACAGCACAGAGAGTAAACAATATTTGAGGAACTAGTGGTAAAAAAATAAAAATCCCATTCTGGAAATTTTGGAAAAATACATGACTATACATCCAAGAATCTTAAAGGACTCCAAGCAAGATAAATGTAAAGAGATCTGCATTGATACAGACTATATCCAACTGTTGAAAGTCAAAGATAGATGACGAATGTTGAAAGAAGTGAGAGAATTGGCTTATCATGCCTAATAAATACTCAATAAAATTCATAGATTTCTCACCAGAAATCAGGTTTGCCTGTGAGAAAACACATTCATAGTTTTGAAACAAACAAACAGAAATCTTTCAATCAATAATTTGATATGCAGCAAAATTACTCTTCAAACATCGGACCTTGTGCTTCTTACCCATCTGTAATGTGTTTTCCTCTCCCTTCTAGAGTTAACCACCATCCTGAATTTCACATTTATAGCATCCTCATTTTATGGACCACTTTTTGAGCATTATACATATGTAAATATGCCTAGACAATGCATTCCTAAATTTTCCTTGGTTATGAATTTTATAACAGCATTATTAGAGAATCGTTAGACAGTATTTGGAACTTCAGTTTTTCATGGAATTTCAGTAGTACTGTGTTTGGCTATATTTCAGTGATTTTTTTTACAATGGTATAATATTTCATTTTATTAAAATGCCATAACCTATTTATCCATTATTTTATTATTGGTGATATGGGCTGTCTCCAGTATTTTGTTCTCAGAAACAGTACTTAATATTCTTGAGCGTGTTTCTCAGTAAACGTGGGAATACTTAGCTTCATTGTATATTTAGGAGTGAAATTGTTGGATCACAGATTGTGTTAACTAACTTTGGCTTTAGCTAATTTGCACCAAGAAACGAATACACTAGAATTTATTTTTTCTTATAAATTAATTTCAAGACAGATAACTCAATTAAAAATGGGAAAGACACTTGAATAGGCATCTCATAAAAGAGGATACCCAGATGGACAATAAAAATGTGAAAAAGGGCTCAGCTACACCGATCATCAGGAAGTGATCATTCATTTTGTTGTTGTTTGGAGAGGTTTTTGCTATAGGGCGTGTGGGCACTTGACAGAAAGACAGAGAGAGACAGAGACATAGAAAGTGAGAAATCACACCACCACCACCCACCCCACCCCCGGAGGGATGGTCATGCCGCAATCCCTTCTCCTCCATTCTCCTCTCAGGAACTTGGGCATGCACGTGCACATGCCTGGCGTGAGTTTAAGCCACCAGTTCTGGGACTCGAACCGTGGTCAACTACATGGGAATTCAGCGACATAGCCATTACACTAACTGCTGGTCCCAAGTTATTGTTCATCTGGGTATCCTCTTTTATGAGATGCCTATTCAAGTGTCTTTCCCATTTTTAATTGAGTTATCTGTCTTGAAATTAATTTGTAAGAAAAAATAAATTCTAGTGTATTAGTTTCTTGGTACAAATTAGCTAATGCCAAAGTTAGTTAACACAATCTGTGATCCAACAATTTCACTCCTAAATTCTAATCACAAGAAAATATCATCAGATGTCCACTCAAATGGCTAATGAAAAGGCAGACAATAGCAAGTGTTGGCAAGGTTATGGAACAATTGGAACTCTCACACATTGCTGGTGATGGTTAAATTGGTACAATGATATTGGAAAGGTATTTGAAGTATTTATGACAGCTCGATATTTCTATAATCTGTCATTTTTACTGTGATCCAGCAATTCTGTTCTTAGCTATATACCTAAAAGAAATGCATACTTATGCTCTCCAAAAGATATGTACAGTAATGTTCATAGCAAAATTATAATAGCAAAAAACTAGAAATACCCAGTGTACATCAACAGTAGAATGGATACATAACATTTTTGCTATTCCCATATCTTAGAATACTGTACAATAGCAAAAAATGTTAACCACAAGTATAAGCTTCAAAATAGACAAATATCAAGACAAAAGACATTTGAAAGCGATATTTTAGATTTCACTTTTATTAACTTTTAAAATGTACACAATTGAATACATAGTTCAGAATACATAAAGAGGTGGGAACCAGCAGTTAGTGTAATGGCTATGTCGCTGGACTCCCACGTAGTCGACTGCGGTTCGCGTCCCAGACCCAGTGGCTTAAAACTCACGCCGGGCGCGTGTGTGTGCGTGCCCAAGATCCTGAGAGGAGAATGGAGGAGAAGGAATTGTGGCATGACCATCCCCCCTGGGGGTGATTTCTCACTTCTGTCTCTATGTCTCTCTTTGTCTGGCGAGTGCATGCACCCTATAGCGGAAACCTCTCAAAAAAAAAAAAAAAAGAATACATAAAGAGGTGATATAACTATAAAGTAAGCAAAAACTAACAAAACCCAGGGAAGTGGCTATAAGGAGAGCAAAGACATTGGGGAAAAGCAAATGCACACATGCAGTGCTATTCTCTTTACCTGGTTGTTCACGTTCATGTTATTCTTTAAAGAATTTAGGTATATTATACGCACTTTTTTGTTTGTATGATTTTTAATGTGTAATGAGATTTTCATTTTGTTTGAGATAGTCAACAGACTCCAACATTCCAATATTTGTTTGTATTTCCCTTAAAATTTCAGCCTTTGTGGGCACATGGTCTGAGTCCAAAGAGAGAAGTGGTGGGGATTTAGCCAACTGGTTTACTATCCAGTAGTTAGTTTCCTACCCTGCCTCACTCCTACCTCAATTCAGTGACTTCCAGACTTCAGTTTCTGTCCTCGCAACACCCAGCATCTAGGTATTTGTTTCTATTACTCAGAACTTTTGGTAGCAATGACCAAATACCAAGTCAGACTAGCTTAGACAGACCAGTTAATTGTCTTGTAATCCAACCATGGGAGGTGTAGAATGAGCTACTCCCAAAGAAAAAGAGAAGGAAGGGCTGATGGTGTCTTTGAAGTCTCCTTTCACCACCTTTTCTTTTCTTCTTTCAGACTACTAGGTTTATTTTATTCAGACAGTTATTTCCACTCCCAGGATGGAAACACAGCTTCTGGAATTTCCTGGACCACATCTATACCAAACCACATGTTTGGCAAAAGGAGACACTTTCTTCTTCCCCTTACTGCTCATTCAAATAAAGGACTTCGATAGACCTTGTCTCAGTCGCCTCCTCACCCCACAAAACACACATTCTGTAGCCAGGGGTCAAAATTTCATGATTAGTTGTCCCATTAGACTCGTAAATTGATGGTACAAAGAAACAACAGTAGAAACAAGCAGGTCTGCAGAAGAAGCAAGGTGCTATTTGGAGGAGAAAGGTATGTTGGATGTATACACTGTAGATATCTACAATACCTTACAGGTGGCTAATTTTTCTCTTTTTAAAATTTTCTGTGCTTCCTCCCTGCCCACTGTGATTTCAAGGGAATCATCCCTTCCAGAACTAGAATCCTGTTCCCATTTACTTTCTGGGTGCATTTCAAAGGCCACCTGAAAAACAGCAAAGTATAATGATTAGTCACGAGATATTCAGGCAAAATTCACCTTACAAAGTTTTTATCGGAGCCAAGAAAGGATTATGAAAAGCCCAGTTTGATGGTGGGAGGGGTAAAATGATAGGGCAGGACTGGGTGGGGTTTGCTGAAGAAGGACATCATGTGGAAACACCCTAATTTCAAAATCAAGACTGGATTGACCAATCCCCATGAGTGATTTCTTATCTATTCTGGGACTTGTAGTCTTTCAAAATATGAGGATTTGGTTATGATGGTGTTCTGTGTCAGCCAGATACTTTGCCATGAGAAATTGGGACAGTTATGGGGGAAATCAGAGGTAACCTGATATGACTGCCCCTTCTTGTAAATGATCTTTGGGGAAAGTCCCAAGGTCCCTCCCAGGTTGGGAGTGGACATTTCCCGAGAGGCTAAGGAAATGCTTTCTCCCTTATAAAAGAATAGACCCGCCCATAGTGACATGACAAACTGGGACAGCATAAAGCCAGGCTTGGCTTCAGCTCTAAGCCAAACACCTTCCTGACACAATGAGGACCAGCGGCTTCTTGGTCCTGGCGGTGATCCTCATCATTGGGACGCTGGCAGCACAGGCAGCTGTCGTAGCAGGTGAGTGAACAGGTGGCCAGAAGGGGCTGTGTTGGGCTGAAGAGAGGCTCTCTGGTGTCCCATAGGCCCAGAAAGGTAGCATTCTGGAGCAATAGGCATGGCTGAGCCCACATTTAGGTCTTAGGGCCATTTTCATCCTGTCCAGAGAAAACAGAAAGTTGATCGGTATACCCCATGTACCTTTTATCCCAGTAACAGAGATATCAAACTATTGTCAGAAGTACTGTTTCATGACCTGGGCTCAGCTGTCACGTCAGTGCAGCACATGCAACAAAGCAATGAGCCCCAGGACTTGGAGCTTGGGGTGTGGACTTCATGCCCTGCCTGTGGGCTCCACAAAACACTTGAGTAATTAGTCTTCTAAGAGAAGGCAGAGAAACATAGGGCCTCAGAAATCACGTGTTTGAGGACCACCACTCCATAAGAAGGAAATAGATGTTATGAGGAGTGAGGAATTGCCCAAGCAATTCCCAGAGCCAGGATGGAGCTCAGTTCTCCCGGCATGTGGCTCAGGGCTCTTCCCCCCTTCACTAAGTTTCCTCAGAAATGATCACATGTCCTTCTCACTTCTGGGTGTCACCCCAAGCTGGCACCTGCTCTGAGACACTTGGAATGGAGGACAGGGAGACATTCCAAGAAACTCTGGTCCTATAGACCCTTTCCCCAAGGAGAAGAAAACAGCCATCCAAGAGCCCAGAGCCCAGCTAACCCTGCACACCTCCCCCAGCTCAGGTCAGGTTTGGGGGACACTGCAGTGAGCAGTGGCTCAACTAGAGGAAAGACAGGGTAGTGGCAGCCAACGCACCAGGTCTGAATGAGGGTACCTGTCTTCTTCCCAGCTCCTAGGAAAGGTCAAGACGCCGTCCAAGGTCATGTTCTGGACAGAGACCGAGATCCCATTGTAGGACGGGTACCAGTGAAAGGTCAAGATCCAGTCAAAGGTCCCTCCATCAAGTCTGGGTCCTGCCCTGATATTAAGATACGGTGTGCCATGCTGAACCCCCCTGACCGCTGTCACAGCGACTCTGAGTGCCAAGGGGCCAAGAAGTGCTGTGTGGGCGCCTGTGGAAGGGCCTGCTTGGACCCTCAATGAGGTGAGCATCGGAAGGTGTTGGAAGAGGGAACTGCTGAGGTGGAGAAGAAGGTGGAGCAGGAGGGGAGGATCACAGGGGGTGGGAGGGAGATATGTGGAAGAGATGGAGAGACTGGGGGACTGAGGGTTCTCAGAGGCTGCAAGCCAGGGGCTGAGAGGAGAGGCCCTGCCTCCTCACTGCCTCTGAGGGCTTTGGCCTGTTGAGTCCCGTCTTTGATTCTCTTCTCCCCACCAGGTGGTGCCTGTCCTCACTGTACCTGTCAAGTCCCCAGAGCTGCAAGATTTGGTCTGGTCCTAGGCTCCTGCAGTGCTGCCCTCTCCCTCACTGCCATTCTTCCTCTCACTGGAGAACCCATGACTGGGTGGCCTCTCTCATCCACTTTCCAATAAAAAAAGACCTTTTGCACCATTTGTTTTTGACTTTCGTGACTTTAGGGTTCCTGGAAAATCTATGGTGATTGGGTGTTGGGTAGTGGAAGGGTTGGTAGTGGCGGTGGTGAGGTCTTACTAGTTGAGTGGGATTAGGGAACCATGAGACCTGTTCCCACTGTGTGAGGGAGAGCAAGAGACCCAGTCCTAGGGCTTGATATTAGAAATTTCATGATCAGCCCAAGTATTTCAATTTCTGTTTCGCCAGGAAATGGAAATCTGAAAAATCTTGCCTTTGGCTTAGGGCCAAGAAACATACACACACACAAGAAGCAAAACAAAAACAAACAACAAAAATAAGAAAGGAAAGATAGAAGGAAGGAAAGGAAATAAAAAAGGAAGAAAAAAGAGAAGAAAGAAAAAGAGAATAAGAGGAAGAAAGACAAAGTAAAAGTTGCTCTAACCTCAGGCAGGTCCTTTTTCTTCAGTCCGCTGTCAGTTCTGTTCTGGCTACCTCAGCCCTGCCAGTGGGACCAGACAACCCCAGTGGCTAAGCCTACAGGTCGGCCTTTCTTTTTCTTTATGGTTTCCCAGGGGCTTGTATCTTTCCAGGAGATCGCAGAAGGAATGATATCGTAGATGCTGGGAAAGCACTGTTTGTGTGGAGTCTTACTGGTCCATGCCCAAGAGTCCTCCACGGACACATGCTCCTTCAGCCGAGCAATGTCCTCTCCCAGATGCCTGGTCTAAGACGTACATGAGGAGGCAAGTCAACAAGGCCCTTCGGTGTGAATGGCTATGGGAACTGTGCCCATAGCTGGAGACACACGTTTTTGTTTTTGGTTTTGTTTTTGGAGAGTTTTTCGCTATAGGGTGCGTGCGCTCGCCAGACAGACAGAGAGAGACAGAGAGACAGAAAGCGAGAAATCAACCCCCAGGGAGGATGGTCACGCCGCAATCCCTTCTCCTCCATTCTCCTCTTGGGATCTTGGGCACGCACGCACATGCGCCTGGCATGAGTTTTAAGCCACCGGGTCCGGGACGCAAACCACGGTCGCCTACATGGGAGTCCAGTGACATAGCCATTACGCTAACTGCTGGTTCCCGAGACACACATATTTGAGGGGCAGGGCATCTGGGTTCGTAAAGATGGGGGCAGGAATATGTTGGGAAAACCTGGATGACCTCATGGCTCTGTTATTGCCCCACCTGCCCCATCGCTCTTGCCCAAGGAAGCTCTCAGGGATGGACAAAGCCTCAGGAGGAGAGGATCTGGATAAAATGGAAAGAGCCCAAGTTTGGGCCTCAGGTGACTTGAATTCTGGCTTCAGCTTGCTTTCCCTTCACACTTGTTAGATGACCTCAACAAAATCTCTTCCTTCTATGAGCCTCCACTATCTAGTCAAGTTGCCTAAAGTTGTTAGTATCACCCTGGGGAGATGCCACAACCCGTGACAGGGAGTTGCTGGGAGAAGGAGCATGCCATTTCTTGACATACATGCTCAGAGTGGAATTTCCACTGTACTGAGCTAGGGATTAGTGAATGAGTTACAACTCAAATTCCACAGACAAATGGGGTTCTTTCAAGCTTCAGTAGATTTTTAAAATAAATGTGTACCTTAGGACAATTCTCATGGACTTTAATTGGTTGGGTGTTTTGTTTGGTTGGTTGTTGGTTTTGGATTTTTGCCCCAGGGCATGTGCACTTGTCAAAGAGAGACTGTGAGAGGGAAAGTGAGAAATCACCACTAGGAGTGATGGCCGTGCCTCAGTCCCTTCTCCTCCATTCCCCTCCTGGGATTTGGGGTATGCACACACACACACATGTCTGATGCAATTTCAAGCCACCAAGCTCAGGATTTAAGCTGCAGTTGGCCATGTGGGAATCCAGGACCTTAACTACTATGTCACCTGTTGTCTCTCTTGGCAAGTGCACACACCCTCTGGCAATTAAAAAAAATTATCTATATCTATATCTACATCTATATGTGTGTGTGTGTGTGTGTGTTTGTGTATCCATTTACCTAATCATTGGAGCAAAACGGGACACAATGAAGAAATACCCAGGGACTAATAAGAGTGTTCACCTGTAGGACATCGTCAAGAACTTGGTAGGTGGGCAAGTAAATGAGAATGGATGTCTGATAGCTCTCTGAATAAAGCTTTATGCATAGACCTGACTTTTGAGCCATGTGAAAGTTTCACATATGCAAATAAATATATAAGTGAATAAATTACACATATTTGGGGAAAATGTAGTTGAATACAGCTTGACAAATCAAGAAGACATATAAACCGTAGATATGAGAGGACCTTGAATATTAAAGAAGTTTTCATTCTTAGAATGATCACAAAACATAATGACGATGAATAAGCTCTCTAGGACAATTAGAGAATAGAAAGATGAAAGTTAGCGCAGAGTTCCTCAATATCGTGACTTCCGTGCATGAGCTACCCAGGGCTGTTGACTGCTTCTCAGGATCTACCTGGTTATTATGCTGGAATTTGGAGACCAATACTCCTCTAAATACAAATGGTAGAGAGGGGTGGGGCTGATCCACACCTGGGGATTGGCTCTGTCACCCCGCCTGCCCCTGTGTTCCTGCCCTGTTCATTTCTCCCTCCACAGTCTAAGGAACTTTCTGCATGAGTGTTCTGCTATGATTTTTCTCATCCTACTAAACCAGCTGAGCCCCTAGCACTTTGTGGGGCTGTGGCAGGAGATTTGAGACATCTTTCTGGACTTTAGGATAGAATGATGGAAAACATGTTTCCAAGCCTTCCTTCTTCCAGATCCACCCTTCATGGTGTGATTCTAAATATATACAGCGTCACTCTACTGGGAAGCTTTTGTCTTACCCTGTGGTTTGCTTAGACCTGTCTTCTTTGGTCAAAGTAAGGAATGTTCTTTGGATTCTTCAGGATGTCCCACTATTGCAGAAAACTCTACTTCTGTACACAAGTGGAAATATTACTTTTTTTTTAAAAAAAGAAAAGAAACTCTTCTCTAGGCCAGCAGGTGGTGTGGTGGCTAAAGCACTGGACTCCCACATGGCAGATTGTGGTTCAAGTCCCAGACCCAAAGGTTTGAAAATCATGCCAGGCATGTGTGTGTATGCCCAAAATCCTAAGAGGAGAATGGAGAAGGGATTGCAGCATGGCCATCCCCACTGAGGAGTGATTTCTCACTTTTCCTCTATCTCTCTGTGGCAAGTGCACACACTATATGGCAAAAGCCTAAAAACCAAACAAAAAACTTCTCTATGAGGTCTGCATTTTGTCTGGAAGTAATGATAATGGTACCTGTCAGCTAAGTCCGGTAGCTTCTTCCTATGGTCATGAAATGAGAGACAGAGCCTGGAGAAGAAGGGAATTTCTTTCTTTTTTTCGTCTAAATTGCTTTATTTTTTTATTTAATTTGACCAGAGAGGGACAGGGCAAGAGAGACAAATAAGAGAAAGCAAGCCACCAGGTCTGGGACTCGAACCATGGTCAACCATGTAGGAGCCCAGTGCCCTTAACCACCATGCCACCTGCTGGCCCCAAGAAGGGAGTTTATTTCTGTAACAAGTTATAGGAGGACAGTCAGCAAATACCATTAAACTGTCTCAAAAAGCTCAAGATGTTCTTGGTATTTATATTGATAGACACAGATACGAGCAGATGCAAATCATTGCTCACTACACTGAATCAGAGTCAGTCGCTTTCCCCTGAGTAATTAACCTGATTTCCCTCAAATACCCACATCCAGTTTCTCATTTGACCATTCCTCAAACAGATCTCCCTGTGACTCAGGACTTGGTCACATTGTTCTCATTAGAGGCCTTTCTGAATTTCAAAATGGCTGCCGTCCTGCTAACTTTGGCCTGCTTCAGTAAGAGACATGGTCATAGTAGCCTAGGAGTCCTGTATTGCTACTGAGCCTTCCCCAAGAGCACACAGGCCCTGAGCGCAACCAAAGGCCTTATTTTCCTAGTCCAGTAGTTTTAGAGGAGAGGCCAAAATGAGTTCGGGTTTATATTAGTCCTCGATTGTGTTGCTAAACAGAAACACCAGAAGCTGTGTGATTTATTTATTTATTTATTCATTTATTTATTTATTTACTTATTTATTTATTTTTTGGAGAGGTTTTTGCTATAGGGTGCGTGCACTCCCCAGAAAGAGAAAGAGACAGAGAGACAGAAAGCGAGAAATCATCACCACCACCACCACCACCACCACCACCCTGCCCCCGGGGGGAATGATCACACCATAATCCCTTCTCCTCCACTCTCCTCTCGGGATCTTGGGCACACACGTACACATGCCTGGCATGAGTTCAAGACACTGAGTCTGGGACTTGATATGCGGTTGACTACATGGGAGTCCAGCGACATAGCTATTATGCTAACTGCTAGTCCCAAGGCTGTGTGATTTATAAAGAAAGGTTTGTTTGGTTCATAGCCAGGGGCTGCATTTGGCTAGACTCTGGTCCTATATGGCAAAAGGGACCTGTAGGAAACTCTTCCTTTTACAAAAACTTCTTTTCACAGGAGGGAGAACTTGCTTCATTTTGAGAGACAGCATTAATCCATTCATGAGTATGATGCCTCCATGATCCAAACACCACCCACAGGCCTCACCTCTTTTTTCTCTTTGTTTGCTATTAGATGCATGCGCTTGTTGGAGAGAGACACACAGAAAGAGACAAAGAGAGGAAAAGTGAGAAAGCATCCTCAGGAGGGATGGCCACACTGCAATTCCTGCTCCATTCTCCTGCCAAGATTTTGGGTATGCACAAACATACGCCTAGCATGTTTTTCAAGTCACCAGGTCCAGGATTGAACCATACAATCAGCCATGTGGAATCTAGCCTCCTTAACCATTGTGTTATCTGAATAGCCCCAGCCTCACTTCTTAAAGGTCTCACTACCTCCCAATGTTCACATGGGAACTGAGCTTTCAGAGCCCAAACTTTACTCGGGGAAACCATTATCCAAACATAGCAGAGGTCTTAGTATCAGGGACGCTTGGCCTGAAAGCAGCTCTGTAAGGGAGCTGACACACAGGTAGAATAGTGACAACTGGGGTGGAAAGAAGCTTTTAAGGGCAGAAAGAGGAAATCCTTCTCAGCACTGGCTGCTAGGCTGCCATTCTTCACAGTTATTATGCAAGCTTACTGGCTTTCAGTGTTACCACACAGCTGGGCAGGATGGGAATATGATAGATTATAGAGTCAGAAAGCTCTCTGTTCTTGCCAAGATTCATGTGTTTTTCTTTAAACATTCTATGGATTTTCGTAAGCCTTTCATTAAGTCCAAGAGTTCTGAAAAAAGTTGACTGACAGTGTTTGTCAGCATTCTCATAGGTTTGCCAGAGATCGGATTTAACTGTTCCATTGTGAGAGTGGTTCTTTCTGTTGTAGGGTTTTCATGGAGGCTTGCTATCGATTTAAATTAATGACTTCTAATTTGGTGTCACTTTTTTATGATTGACAAGTGATGTTTTTCACATATCTTACAGCTGAGATGAAGATAATCATACAATTTTCTCCTGTGTTCTATTAACGAGAATTATTCTGTTTACTTTTTAAAAAGTTATTTTATTTATTATTATTATTTTAATTCACGAGAGAAAGAGAGAATGAGAAAGCAAACCACCAGGTCTAGGACTTGAACCACAGCCACTCGTGTGGGAGTCCAGTGCCTTAACCACCACACTATCTGCTGACCCCTGTTGTCTTACTTCTTAATGTTAAACCAGCCATACATTGGTGACATAAAACACTACTTGCGCATGATGTATCATCATTTTTATATATGACAAAATTCACTGGGTAAAATTGTCCAGAATTTTTGCCTGTATGTTTGTAGGGAGTTTGGCATGTTGAGTTCCTTTCACATAAGAACTTCATCATATTTTGGTATCATAAAATTGCAGTAAAGAGGGTCAGCAGGTGGTGTGGTGCTAAAGGCACTGGGTCCAGACATGGCTGACCACAGTTCAAATCCCGGACTTGGCAGCTTGAAAATTAGGCTGGGCATGTGTACGTGCATGCCCAAAATCCCAAGAGGAGAATGAAGGAGAAGGGACTATGGCATAGCCATCCCTGGGAAGTGATTTCTCATTTTCTCTCTCAGTGTATTTATCTCTCTCTCTTTCTCTGGAGAGTGAATATGCCCTATAGCAAAAACCTAAAAGAAAAAAGAAAACAAATCACAATGAATGTGAAGCAGCTTTGAAACTATACAGGTTTTGTGTCTGTGTGTGGGACTAGAAACAAACATCTTAAGAATAACAATGTATACTGCAGACCTTGTAAATTATTGGATGGCATGCCAAACCAATTGGGAAGGTTTTATACTTATTTCTAAATTTGGAACTCAGTGTAGACAAACTAGTCCATACCTATCAGAACTTTTGAAGATAAGCAAGTCATTTTTCACTCTAAACCTGAACCTGGGCTTAGAATATCAGAAAGTTTTTTGGTAGAAAGACTCCACTCATGGAGCTACATATCATAACTAAAGAACTTTGTTGTTCTGAAAGGTTAGTTTTCAGCCTGATGGCCTAGGCGGAATGCATTACACTTCCAAGGGAAACTAAGCCTCTAAACATTCTTTTATAAACTACACTTAGGATCATACTAACACAAATTCTTTTATACCGTGGACTTAACTATTGAAGAGAACCCCCCTAATTACACAGCAAAGAGATGCAATACCTAGAACTGACCAGAAGGTCCTGCTAGAAAGAAAGGAAGGCGTTGGTCCATAGAACAGTTGCTTTTTTCAGCTTCTCTGGGCCTCCCTGGTCAGGTACCTATTTTACTGTGAGTCTTCATGAGTCTATTTTTCACCATTGCAGAAGTCAGATATCTTCTCAGCTAACAAGCAAGTAGTAACAATTTACACTCTAGCAGGAGTACACAGAAAGTCAGAATGTTCATTTGGTCTGGAGTTCACATTCTAAAACAGCAGAGTTAGTCTTTTGATTTTACCAACTAAAGTCGTTTTTACAAAGTAATGGACACATAAAGACAAGAGAGGGGAAAAAAATTCTTTATGTGATTAAAGCCTCTATTTAGTACAGAATGAACTGATAAAATTGATGTCCTGTAAAAACCTAGAAATTATCTTGAGAACAGCATGCCGTCTTGCTTAGCCTTGGCCTTGGCCTGTGTGTTTCTGAGGTTATGCGCTCACAGTAACCACCTCAAGTGCACTGGAGGCTGGTCAGAGTGGGAGGCCCCGGGTTCCCATGGCTCTGGACACACAGTGAGAAGAGAAGTTGGCCAGACCTGGTGCCTGTCCCAGGGAAGGCAGTGCCCTCCTCTTGTACAAGGTCAGCTGTGCAGAGCCAGAGTTGGGAGGGCCAGGCCAGCCCAGGGACACCCTGAGACAGGGACACGTGGGGGCTCTCAGGGCCATCCCCAGAGGTTATAGCAGGGCCTGTTCCTGGGCTGACAGGGCCCAGCAGGAGTTTACCAGCCAAGGAGAGGAGCTCTGCGCTGGGGCCCTGGGACCCGCAGCGCCCCCTACCGGAGGGCTCGGGCAGAGCCGCTGTGAAGAGCTGGCTCAAGCTCCTGGAGACTTTGTGGAGGATGAAGCCCAGAGGCCTGGTGTTGCTCGCCCTGACCGTCCTCCTGTGCTGCCGCATGGCCCAGCCCGGAGTCCTGCGGAGGCTGAGTAGGCGCGGGGACCTGGGCGTGGTGGGACGGGGACGTTTCGTCCAGGGGTTGGCGGGAGGGTGGTTGGGGGCACGGGACCAGCTGGGCCTGGGCCTGGGCCTGGGCCTGGAAGGCACGCCCCGCCAAATGCCCTAGTCACTGTGGCGTTTTTCTCCAGTTAGACAAAAGCCTGGCTTCTGCCCTGAGTTCTCTCTGGAATGCCCGTTCACCTTCCTGCCCCGGTGCTGGCGCGACGCGAGCTGCAGTGGCGTGCGCAAGTGCTGCTACTACAACTGCCAGCAGCGCTGCATGGAGCCCTGGTGGACCCTGGACTAGGTGAGGCCCTGCGCCTGTGCCTGGCCTGCGGGCTGGGAGCTGGCCGAGACCTCGCGGGTCGCCGAGGCTGAGATTTAACCGGGTGGGCCCAGAGCTCTGCCCCTGGACAGAGAAGTGGGCGCACAGCAGGCCCTTGTTAGCAAGGCCCCGTGCCCTTCATGCAATGAGCACCACCTGTCTCCTGTGCTCGGTGGGGACATTTGGACAGGGCCATGTCCAACTCCTCAGCACTTACTGATTTTTATTGCGGTTATTTTGGATCTCTTATTATTTATTTATAATATTTATTTCTTTTGACATTCACATTACTGAGCACTTCCCTCTTCATCTTTAGGTTGTGAGGGGAGGGCTAGGCGATCACAGCTCCTCGGTGGGTTCCCTAGAACCCCTGACCCCCATCCCTGAGTCCTTGGCAGCACACCTCTGTCCTCTTGGGACAACAGTACCTGGAAGAATTCAGTGCTCCTGGGACCCCAAACCATGCGCCCTGCACCTTCCCACTTCTCAGATCCTCTCTTCTCTCTCTTTGTCCTCAGGAGGAAACCCCTTCACACCAGGCCTGAGGAGACTCTGGTGCTGCAGACTCAGACGGGATGTCTCGTCCCCTCCAAGTCTCCCAGGTTCCTCCCAGCCCCGAGGCTTCCTTTTGGGAGAGTTAAATGCTTATTAATATGAAAGCAACACAAAGAAATAAAGCATTGCATACTTAAAATCACATGGAAGTCCATGAGACTGCTGCACCTCTCTCTTCCACCTGTGGGTGATTCCTGAGGCTCTGTAGAAGGGATGGGGCTGCTGCTTCACATTTGTTTATGGATCTTGCACTTCCGTTTCTGGTCTGTTTCTAGCTTTCAGTATCATCTGGCACTCAGATTCTGTGTTGGTCAGATTCCAGGGGCATTGTAGAGTCAGGTTTTGTGTGATTTGATCCTATGAAGGGCACACACATTATCCTGAAGAGACCCTTGACGAACAAGCCTTCGGAGCTGCCATTTCTCTGCTGCTGGCGGCCCTTCCACTTGGGTCTGTGATTGGACTGGATTGGGACTTCGGGTCGGAAGTGGAGCAAGGCGTACTTTAGTTCTAGATGATGTGGGTCCTAAAATTAGAGCATCATAAATTAGGAAAAGGAAATATCTATGGTTCAGCTTAGCTCCATGGCATCTTGGCCTGGGGATCAAGCCCCTAATCTACCTCATAATGAAGTTTTAGGGAGCCTCAAATTTCCTCACTTTAAAGTCTATGTCTTAGCCTTCCTTAAGAACTAGAAGGTAGCTGAGGTCTAGGAAAGCAGCCTTCCGGCATTTTATTTGTGACAACTATCATGAACAAATTTTGAAGAAATATTTATTCCATGGCATATTTTAAATTAATATGTAATATTTTTATAACTGCATAGTTACAAGGGACAAAGGTTTATGATAAATATTGTCATTTAAATAAACTAGGTACCTTACTGTTTTTACTGGTCCTAATGGAATCTAATTACCATCTTCATTTGATCGTAGTATCTACGAGGGAAAAACAGAAAACATGGTCTTCCTTTTTCTCATGTTCTTTTTCTTCTTCCTTTCCCTTCATCCCCCAAATTATTAAGCCAAAATAAATAGTGAATGAGTTAGTTTGGGACCTTGGAAAGCAAGATGACTGGACAGGATTAGATAATCAAGAGCTTATTAGATGGGACCAGCAGTTAGCGTAATGGCTATGTCGCTGGACTCCCATGTAGTCCACTGTGGTTCGAGTCCCGGACCCGGTGGCTTAAACTCACACCGGGCATGTGTGCGTGCGTGCCCAAGATCCCAAGAGGAGAATGGAGGAGAAGGGATTGCGGCATAGCCATCCCCCCTGGGGGGTGATTTCTTGCTTTCTGTCTCTCTGTCTGTCTGTGTCTTTCTGGTGAGTGCACACGCCCCAATAACAACAACAACAAAAATCTCCGAAAAAAAAAAAAAAAGAGCACTTGAATGGAAGTCATCAACTAGAGGGGTCTTGTGTCTCAGAGTGGGTCTGCCTTAGTGTCAGGCGGCATTCAGCCCTTGACTGGGAGCACCTGTGGGAAGCAGAGCCTCAGAGCAAGCTTGGTGGCCGATGGGAGGACAGTGGCTGGGGGCAGCCCGGAAGCAGAGCCTCAGAGCAAGCTTGGTGGCCGATGGGAGGACAGTGGCTGGGGCCATCTGGCAATGACTCACCTCCGAGCCGCAGTTCTGAGTGGTGCATTTCCATGTCTGCCACTGTCCTCTGCTTGTGCTGCCCGGGACTACTTCCCTGGTTATGGTGATGGAGGTGGAGTAATGCCCACATGTTAAGTTCTATTTCCTTCTTGCCTGTCGGATGGTTCATCCCTAGCAGATGCTTCCTGGAGGTGTCATTACGTAATACACAACCTTTACCCGAAGCACCCGCTCCGATGTCTGCCTTTGCCCCACTCCAGACATTCATGCTCCCAAAGATCTAGTCCTTTGTCTCCTAAGCCCCTCTTGGGGTTTTATTATTACTTAGGCACAGCAAGGCCAATACGTCAGGAGATGACTGCTATTGAAAAGAGAATTTGTGAGCCAGCTAGCCTGTGGCCATGAAGGTGCTGGATTCCCACAAGGCCAACCACAGTTTGAGTCCTGGATCTGGCAGCTTGTTTTCTCACTTTCCCTTTCTCTTTTTCTGTCTCTCTGGTGAGCACACATGTCCTATAGTAAGTTAAACTAATAATAATAATGATAAATAAAATTAAATTTAAAAAAGAGAGTTTGCTATACTCAAGATCCCTTGAGGAGGAGGCACAGGAAGCATGGAGTTTGCTCAGAAAGCACCTCTGTCAGAGAGGCGGAGAGCAGGCTTGAGTTTGGGCAGGGCCTTTGTTGTGGTTTCTGCAGGAAGGGGAAGGTGCAGCAGGGTAACCATGCCAGGACTGGCTAATTCACATCATTTCAGCAGTCTCTGAGGTGTAGGCAGGGGCTACTTCCCTGGTACCTAGCCCTAGGTGCTTAGGGTTGGGGGATAGTGTCCTCGAGTATAAGAGTTCAATAAAGGGGGTGGTTGAGAATCTGGGCCCTGGAATTTTGTACATAGATCTCCAATCATCCATCTCAGCAGAAACTGCTCACTTGGCCCTCAGGGAGGGGAGATGGGGTGATGAAGGCAGGCTTTCACGCTTCTGTGATTTTATAGGCAGGAAATGGGCTGGCAGAGTTACTCGGCCGAGATGATGTTGGATCCTTGAGGAAAAGGGAAAAGTAACCCTGGGAGCAGTCAAAACACATCAGCCTACCTCTGCTGCCACAAGCCCAGAAGGCCCAGGCCCAGGGGGTGAGGCCTTAGTCTCTTCGATTCCAACTCCTCACTTACACAGAGCAGGGCCACCATGAGATGGGCCCAGAGGGGGCAGCCACCACCCTTGTGAGACCAGGAATACAGCATGGAAACACAGGATTATTTCCAGACCTTAAGACCAGGGATTTTCCCTAGTACATCTGAACTTGTCAGGGCTCACGAGTTCTTTTTATCTTCTGATTTAGCCCTGCTGGAATGGGACATCTATACTGCACTTTTCCCACCATTATATTT